TGTATGTTTATTTGCAATGTATTCAATTAATAATATTTAAATTATAATAATATAATCAATCTGTTGTATTAGAGAAAACGACATTACCGATGTATTGGATTTGACATTCTCAACAGAAGATGAACGTTTCGGTGAAGTAGTGACGGTTGATTTAATACCAGACGGTCGAGAGTTGCCGGTTACAGAGGATAACAAAAAAGAATATATCGAGTATGTGTGGTTATGGTTATTTCCTAAACTGCTATACTTTTTCATTTATTGATTGATTGATTAATTTATTAGTCATATTACGGAATGGCGTATTTCTAAACGTATCGAAGAACAATTCAAGGCGTTTATGGAAGGGTTTAATCAGCTTATACCACAAGATTTAATTGCCGTTTTCGACGAACGAGAATTAGAGGTTAGGGATTAAGTTCTTCATTTCAGTTAATGCAGCATAAGTCACTTGCGCTAGCTCGTTAATTAGATCACTACATAGGAAAAATCCGTAGCTAATTTGGATTGGATTTACCTTGAATGAAAAATTCGCTTTTATAATTACAGTTATTAATCGGCGGTATCGCGGAAATTGACGTTGATGATTGGAAGAAACACACTGATTATAGAGGATATACTGAATCTGATGATGTTATACAGTGGTTCTGGGAGGTAACTATTCTTGATATTTATTTGTTTGTTCGTTCGTTTGTTGGTTGGTTTGTTTGTCCTTGTTGATTTAACCTTTTATTCATGTTAACAACATTTTATAGTGTGTCCGATCATGGGATTCTGAAAAGAAATCTCGCTTATTGCAATTTACTACCGGAACGTCCCGTATTCCAGTCAATGGATTCAAGGATTTACAAGGTAGCGATGGTCCAAGGCGATTTACTATCGAAAAGGCCGGAGATATTACTCAACTTCCAAAAAGTCATACCTGGTACGTATAATAAATAATACTTTATTGATAAATTCATTAATATTTTAACTAAAATATTTTCCCCTTTCAAAGCTTTAATCGTATCGATTTGCCACCTTACAAAAATTATGAGTCGTGAGTAATCATTCTTAACATTTCCTTCATTTTGCCTGATTGCCAGCTAAATCCATTTCTATTATATAGATTTGTATCTAAATTAACTCTAGCGGTAGAGGAAACTATGGGGTTCGGACAAGAATAAAGGTTTTTAATTTAGTCTTTGGTTATATTGTATGTTTGCTTATGCGGTTCGTGATGTAGATAAAATTATTATATATGTTGGACTCTTGCGATGTCAATTATTTTTTAATTATTGGTTTATCTTTTGCGTTAACATTGAACTTATGAAAATCAATTTAAAAAGCATCTTTTATTGTTTAAATGGTTTTAAATGGTACTTATCATTTATATATTATTATTATTCTATTTGTACTTCATTTTTTTTTTTTTATCTTTTTTTTCGTTATTGTATTTTCATTCATTTTTTTTTTTTTAGCAGTATATATATATATTATATATATGTATATGTATTTATTTAGTATATATATATATTATTATTATTATTACACTTCCTTTTTTATTAGAAAATTTCTTTATTACTTACTACAAAAAAAAAAGAAAAAAAAACAAATCGCTTTTTTTTTTATTCATTTTTTTTTTTTTGAAAGATTATTAATTACAGTTAATAATACAAGATTGTAATTTTTTTTTCTTTTTTTTTTTCTTTTTTTTTTTAAATATGTATAATGTTTAGTACCTATTACTTACTAAAAAAAAAATTATTTATATTTATAAATAACAAGAAAATCTTTTACAAAGTGAATTTTTTTATATTGTTTATTAATATATCGTTTGAATAATCTTTTTTTGGGGGTAATTATTTGAATTATAAATAAACAAACTTATATATAGGAGAAACGATCTGTTTATGAAATTTGCATGCTTATATATCTAGCCTTCATTAATTCTTCAATCCAATCCATATTACCACAAGCCATCACCCTTTTCATGTTTGCACCATCTCTGATTTCATCCCATTTTGTTACAGCATAATCGAGTGCAGCTTCTTTTAGACGAACATCACTAACTTCCCATGCCAACATTAGTATTTCATCCCAGTTATCACCGTTTACCATATCCGCGATTCGATCAGCTACCATCTCACCGAATCTTTCGAGATTTAACATGTCAGCTTTTGAATAAATATCTTTCAATACATCAAACCCCAGTCCATCCTCTAAACTTCCAGTGTATAGATAGTATAATATAGAACGAAAAGTGGTATATGCCATATGTTTTATAGGTATTGTTTTCATTTGTCCTTCTTTCCACTTATCACCCAACAATTTTTCAAAATATGAAGACCTCGTAGCAAGAATTATTCGATGTGCTTTTATGACAGATCCACAATCAAAAGTGAATTCTATATCACTAAACCTCCCATCATCTAAATGTTGTTCAAAAGAAGGGAATTCTGATTCAATATGTTCTATGGGTTCATCTGTTGGATCATCAGTAGTGGTGGTATTAAAAATGTGAACCCTTATGAGCAGATCGATTTCTGCATTCGTATCATTATTTGGAAACAAATTTTCAAACGAACAAAAACGATGACGACCAAAGTCATCTAAACCTTCAAATTCAAATTTCATGGTAAAAGTTTCATGTCGAATAAGGTGAGGGGTTGATGATGAAAAAGGTGTGGAATTAGGATCGGAAGTAAGACGAAATACTTCCAATTTGAAAGTTTTTTCCCTAAACGTTATATTATTCTCCTTCTCATAAGGGGTTTGTATGGCCACTAAATACAAAGATATATGACCTTTAGCAGCTTCATTTACACCATTAGGGTATAATTTGATACGCCATAAGTATGGATGATCATTTTGTTTGTTTTTTGTCGAAGTTAAATCTGTCGTTAATGGAGGTCGTGGTGACCAAAATCTGTCACTTAGAACGAAACCTGTATTCGGATAGAAAGTGACTAGTTCATTAAAACTTCTAATCGTCCAAGAATAAGTGAAATGATTTTGAGCATGTTTCGAAAGTTGTCGCGTTGCCTGGTCTGTAGTCATATCACGGATTTCGTTAATACTGACAGAAACCGTAGGACCGCTTTCCCTGTTTTGTCGTGACCGCGAACGGATAAACCGTTTTCTAAGAGTATAATGATTGTCATATATTAGAGTGAATAAATAAAGAAAAAAGAAAAAAAAACAAAAACCAAATAAATAATTTATTTAAGAATAAGAAAAAAAGAGAGAGAGAAAGAGCATCACCAAAAATAAATCTAGTAAAAAGTGACCATTTTTTTTTTTTTACGTTTCATAAATATAAAAACAAATAAAAAATATCAGGAAATATAAATATATATATATATATAAAAAGTTACATACAAAGAAAATTTTTTGGACATCAAGAAGCTACTCGCGGATACGGGAAAGAAAGTAACATGAAAAAAAAAAAAAGAAAAAATAAAATTTGATGACGTGGGGAGGGGAGGAAAAATTTACTTTTTCAAAAAAGATAAAAAAAAAAATAATGTATTGTATGTATATATTAGAAAGAATACAACATTCCCCATTGTCTAATTTGATCAATTTTTTTTTGTTGTTGTTTCAATTTATTACTTTCCAGCCACAATTTAAAATAAATGCATTACGGCGATAACACTGCATTATTTGCAAATAACAGGGTAATTTATTTTCAACTTCTTGTATCATCATGCTGTCACTTTTTTTCTTTTTTTTTAAAACGCGGGTCTAAATATTTACGTTATCAACTTGTCACAACATTTTATTTCACTAGTCACAAAAAAAAAAAATTATAAATATGCCAGCCAATCTTTTTTTTTTTTTGTTCATATTTTTCCTTTTCACAGGTTTCAACAACGGATTAGCTGGACTCTTCCGAAATTTTCACAATTTTTATTCCTACATTTAAAATAGCATATACATATTATATATATAAAAAATAATAAAATAATAATTAAAAAAAGTAATTAAAAAAAAAAAAGAAAGAAAGATGCCATTAGTAAAGATAGGACCAACTTATAATTCACTCCAACAATACAAAGTCAATGATGACAAACACCCCTTATTCGTCAACTCCTCTCACTTTACCGGCTACATAACCGTTAGATTACAAAATAATCATCATAAAGATGACCCGGTCATAAAGTCTTGTTCATACTTTGAAAATCGTCGTAGATTGTTCTCATTTCAATTTCAAGGACGTTTTAAACCAACGAATCCTAATAGAGATGATCACTTATGGACTTTTGATGATGTACTGTTTTGTGCGGAAACCGAGTCTAGAATTAATCCTCCAATGGGATCTTCACTTGCTGTTAAATTTGCGGGATACATTGATCCCGGATTTAATGCTGATGGGATGTTCCTAAAAAAAAGACCTTGGGCTGGTAGTTGGTTAATTTGTGGAATGAATGTTGTTAAAGTTTGGAAAGCTGAATCTGACGATATTTCCACGAGGAAAATTATGAAATCACAAAAACGTTCGGTTCCAACTTTCGACAACAACGCTTCACCTTTGTTACCCATCGAACCTTGGGTTTATTACGGTAAACATCAAATTGAAGAAGACACCAAAGTCATCATGCCTAATGAGGATCTAAATTCTTCAAAACGTCGTAATTATTTTTCTCAACCGTCTATTCGTAAAAATTACGTCTTTAACCCTTCTCACATATATTGTTGCGATTTTTTCAATAATTTTACAAACTTTTCTACGATGAATGCGGATATGATTATAAAATTTAACATGTCCAAAGTGTTGGGAAATCAACCACTTAGATTCGTGTGTAGGAATAAAGAAGGTGATGCTATATTTTTTGTCATAGAAATTGATTACTCGGATCTTTTATAATAATTATTTACTTGTTGACAAGACTATTTACATAATATAATGGCGGAGGAAAAATCTTTTTTTTTATTTAAATGAATCATAAAGCTGATAAAGGACTTGAAAACAAAAATTGGGTTTAATTGGCGTTATTTATTTTATTGTTTACCATAATCATCTACTTGTTTGCATCATTAGGAAAAAAATAATCTTCTAAAAATATGGTTGCTAAATTCTTTACTCGAATATTATCAGAATACGATAATTTAATCATTTGCTCTTTCACATGATCCGTTAAAATATCTAGCAAAAACAATAATCTGTATTAAAAAAAAGAACGAAAATTTTATACGTTTCAGCTTAAAAAAAAGAATAATAAAAAAAATGTACATTGTTCACTCGTTGGTGTTATTAAGAAATTCAAAACTGTGATGGCAGATAATGTTGTATCCAGATTCTCATTAGATAAGCAATCGATAATTAATGGAATTCCATCATTCTCGACTATATGTTTTTGATTTCGACTCTCTGAAAAAGAACGAGTATATTATATTTAAAGTGGTGATGATAATTTTTAAAAAAAATAAAAAAAGTTTTGATTTTTTTCATAATTACCTAAACATAAATTGCATAGTCCACCTAAACCAAATTCCCTCAACTTTTCATCCGATTCATTTAAAGTATCTAAAGGTTATTACGATAAAATATTTTTTTGTTAATGATGGTTACGAGATATAAAAAGTTTTGAGGGAAAAGAATATAACGAACCGAGAAATAAATCTACTACGTTTAACTGCCAAAGCCATTCATAATTAATAGGATCATAAGCAAAATTGGCTAAATTTGCTAATACTTGGTATTTGGCCCCTGCAAAAAAAAAAAAAAAAAGAATTTCTAATCAATAAACGATTCGGTCAAAAAAAAAAAAAAAAAAAATTTACTTTGATCCTTTGTATTTTGATATTCGTTAACAAGTTCTTCAAGATATTCAAGTCTACAGTTATAATAGAGATAAATATTTTTTTTTAAAAAAAAAAAATTCAAAATAAAAAGATAATTAATTAAACAAATTTCTACCTTGGAGTTCCAGATTTTCCAGTCCTTCTTTCAAGTTGTCGACGTGTAGAGAACATTTTTTCAGGTAATCGGTTCAAATTAGAAATGATAATCAATCGTTACTCATATTGGATATAAAAGATATTTTTGCATTACTAATTATTTAAATAGTTTGAAGTAATATATTTTATATGAACCTAGATTATTTAAAATATATATATTAAAATAAAAATAAAATAAAATAATATATAAACTAAATATATTTAATTTTAATACCTTATTTTATAAATATTGAAAATTTTAAGTTAAAAAATAATAATCAAATATATATATATATATTATTAAATATATTTTTATTATTAATATGTAATTCTACAAATTTTAACTGTTAGATAGAATATTCAAAGATTAATCTTTTATAGTTTACATAGTAAAATTATTTATTTATAAAATAAATTTGAATTTATAATAACAAATTTTATAAAATTAAATTATTAAAAATAATTACATAGGATTATAATTTCAAAAGAAATATAATTTATTAATAATAAATAATAATAAAAAATATAAAAATAAAATAGATAATTATAAGCTAAAAATAAAGAAAAAAACATAACAGTTACAGTAATATCCCTATAAGTATATTATAGCTTAATCCTAAACTAGAAACTTAGACCTAAGTACACTTCCTTATGTGTTATACATGTAAGTAATTCTAAGCTTTGAATATAATGAAATATTTTTTATAAATGTATTATAACCGGATGTTGATTTTGATGATCACAGATCTACAAATGTGTAGCAAAGTACAAAATGTCAAAAATGTCAAATATATTAAAAATTTAATATGTTTAATATATCAGATATAGTTAATATAATTAACATAATTAATATATTTGATATGTCAATATATATAATATAATAGATATAATACAAGCCCTTTTATAAGTTAGTAAAGACAGACTGACAGCTATATAGAAACCTCTTTCTTGTAAAAAATAGCGCAAAGCTACTCTTCACTTATGTATCTCTCTTACTTATTTTATTTTCTTATTTTATATTCTATTATCTTTTATTTTTCTTTCTTCAATAAAGTATTTCTTATTTTATATCGTAAACTCTTTGTGATTATTGTAAAAATTTCAAACTGCAATTAAAGCTACTCGCATTTAGTAAAACCATTCTAATTTGATAAAACTGATACTAAAATAACTAAGATTAGTATAAAGCTAAGTTAAAATTATACATAAATTATAAAAGAGTCAACCCTCTGACACTACATCTAATAGCTACAACCTGAAAGATTACACATTAACAGTATTTATATGACTATAATTAAAATCATAAGCAAATTTTTTTAAAATAAATAAATTTGTATAAAAAATATCATTTTTATATATGTTTAAAAAAAAAGATTATTATAAATCTTTTATATATTATATATATTATACATAAAAAAATTAATTGATTATAAAGATAAATTCAAAATTAATCTTTGATATTTCTATAAATTATAATAAGTTTTATGAAAAGTTTTTTTTATAACAAAAATGAAATGAAAATATATATAAAAAATTTCATATTAATTAATCTGAAATAAATTAAAAGACTATATATATTTTAACTACTATAATGTTCTAATGTTTATCTACTTAATAATTAAATCAATACTAATTAGTTTTACAATTATACAAAAGCTTAAATAAAGTAAATACCAATGTGAAATTTTTAGTTAAGTTCATTCTAAATTTAACAATATTTTCTGTTCTCTAATTTTAATATTATAATAAAATATAGTTAGTTAAATTTAATTTTAATTCTTTAGATTTTATAAAGAAATTCTAAATATATTAGTATTAATCACTATCGCTATAATATTTATTTAATTAAATTATACTATAGAAGAAAGTAAATCACAAGTATATAAATATTTATTATATTTTGTTTGATTAATTACCTTAAATTATTATAGCTAAAAGGTTTATTTTAAGATGACAATAAAATTGTATTAGTTAATAAACTCATATAAAATAAAAAGTTAGATTTTATTATATATCTAAATTAAGAAAAAAAATTATAATTTCACTATTATTTAATAATATTAAAAATTAAATTATGTTCCTAAAATATTATTTAAAAAAACAACTTTTACTAAAATTTAAAAATAAAAAAACTTTGTTTTACATTCTGATAACCTAAGCTCAAATGTTGATTAGTTTGAAGAAAGTTAAAATTAATAAAAGCACTATTACTTATTTTTACAAATATTAAAAAAATAATTTATTTTAAATTTTAGTATTAGTTTAAATATAAAATTAAATAAATTAGTTACCTATTTAGAACTTGAACTTATATTTAAAGAATTTGTTTTAAACTATTAGTATCAAATAGTTTAAACAATATAATATTTATTAAAAAGTTAAAAAGATTGCTAATAAATTAGATATTTTTCAAAATAAATTTTAATTTTCCTCAAAATAACTTTATAAGTTTAAAATCACAATAGAATTTACTAACAAAAACTTAAAGAGAAAATTTCATTCACTGATGAAATTGTTATTACTATACTTTAGTATAAATTAATTTTAATGATATCAAAATTAATTACATTAATTTAACATTTATTATAAATTATTAATAAAATAATTATGTCTATCAAAATACAATTTAATTAGTAATTTATCAATTTATGTTAAAATATAGATATTACTTATACTTTATTCTTATTAAAAAATTTTATTCTAACTTTCCTTTTATAAAAATCTATAATATAAATAAAGTAAATTTTTTATAAGTAAATTTGATTAATTCTTTAATTAAAAAAAATAAATCATTATACTTATTTCATATTAATATAAGTTAAAATTAAATCAAATATTTATACTAAATATCTTATTAGATGTAAAGTAAATAAAAAATACTTTTTAATTTTATTTTATATAAATATTGATAGCTTATATAAATTAAATCTTTTAATCATCAGAAAATTTGTAAAATTATACTATTTTAAATATAGGAATTATTACAGCAAAAGTAAGTGATATGTCAACTAATTATATTTTAAAATTTTTTAATAATCACGTGATCATATACCTAATCTTTCAAAAATACATTTTTTCATTTATATTTTATTAGTAAAATTTTGACGTTAAACTTTAATCTTTTTTCTTTTTCATTATAAAAAACTTTTGTAATTCTTATCTAAATAATATGGAATATAGTATATATTTTAAATAGTAATAATAAAAATAATATTATATTATCTGCCTTAAAAGAACTGAAAAATATTTTTTTTTTGAAAATTCAAGTAGTGAAAATGAAAAAAATATAACAGATGATGAAAAAACACATTTGATAAAAAAATTATGTTTATGAATAAGAATTTATAGAAAATACTGATAATTATATTAAGGATAAGTTCTATAATGATTTAAAATTAAAAGTCAAAAAGATTTTAAAAGTGGAAAATATTCATATAATCCTAATTATTTTGAAAAATTAATTATAAACAATTTCTTAAACATTAGACAGAATTTAAAAATTTAAACAAAACTATGTAAGATATGATTATTAAAAAAAATAATTTATAGCTTTTTAAAAAAATGAAGGAATAACTAAAAATAAAAAATATTTATGCTTTAATTTTTGTTTTAATAATAATTTTTAATCTTGCTCTTATTGGAATTAATTATAATTATTTAAATAATATTAAAAAAATTTACAGAAATATAGTCTTGAAGAACATATATATAGTAATATAAGCAATATTTTTAAAAAGATAAATTATATTAAGGTAAATTACAGTTTAGTATGTAAAATAAATGAGTTTTTAAAAAATTATGCTAATATGCATAGAATACCTTTATCTGGATGAAAATTTTTCAAATTTACTACACCAATAATATTTTTTTTTAACAAATTTAAGTTATATTACAATATATCGTGATTATATATAAGCATATAAGAATGAGTATGAAAGTAAGACATGAATTATAGCTAAATCAACTTTTATTAATACTTGAAAACTTTAATACCTTCATTTCAATTTATATCTCAAAGTGATACCCATGAAAAAATAAAAATGAATATTTAGTTTACTATAAAATATAAAAAAATTAAAAATTATAAAGAATTATTTAGTTCACTTCAATCATATAAAATAAGAACATGATTACTATAATACTAACATTAAGTATGCAATTAAAGATAGCAAATATAATCAAAATAATACACTTAATAAATCTCAAATATTATTTAAAACTTTTGAAGAAAGTACACATATTATATATAATTGTGCTCAAAATATTCTAATTCCTTACTTATCACAACAATAGGATTTTTATTTTTTAAAATTTAAGAAAGATACATTTATTTAGAGTTTATAATACTAGTAACTTTTTATATACAGAACAGACTAATTATGTAATTAATGAATGTAAAATGCTGATGATAATAAACAAGAAAAAGGTATAAATTGTACATTTTAACTTAATTTATAATACAATTCAGAAGTATAATTATGAAGAAAAAATTAGTTATTACATGTGATAATTGTATAGAACAAAATAAAAACAATTATTTCTTATTTTTTTATTCATAGTTGATTGATCAGAGTTTATATAATGAGGTTGAGTTAAATTTCATAATACCTAAATACAGTATTATTATGGGATATTAATAGGATATTCATGGGATACTGATGGGATATAGATACAGTAGCAGTCATAAGTATCCGACCGCCTCTAACTCCGGCTACAAGTAAGTAAATTCAAAATTTTTTTTTTATTTAAAAAATACATAATCAACTAACTAAAATTAATACATTGTGTAGTCACCATCTGACTCTATAAGTG